CTATTAACAGTGTTTATAATTCTAGATAAACATTGTCTCATCATAATTAAAGCCTATAGTGAAGTGGTTTTCTGCCCTATTTTTAACCAATTCAGAGTCACTTGTGCTGACAATATAGAGAGAATAATGAAGGATTCAACTAACCTCATTCAACGACTGGGTCACTTTAAAAATTGAGATAGAGATGTTAAGTGTGAAAGTTGTACAATGAAGTAATGGTTCAAGATTATGATTTATAGAACACTTTTGCTATGTCTTAATTACTGATAATAATTTCTTTATTAACACATCTGTGTTGAAAGATAGTATCTTCTTGGTGTGTGTATGAAAAAAATTTACATATGTTTATGTGTATATAATTTATTTTTTCCCTGTCATCAAGTTATCTCTGAATTCAAAGATCAAGCAGACTCTTTGGAGTGATATTGCATCAACTATCAGTGAAAACCCAGTTTTCCTACAATTTGGATATAACTTCATTTTAAGGGGCTATAGTCAGAATGTAAGTACAACAGGATCTCCTTGAAGAGGAAATAATCAAGGAAAAAGATTAAGGTGGAAAGTCTAGATTTGGTTATCAAAGGGTAAAATGAAAAAGAAAAGAAAATTGAGAAAAGATTTTAAAAGTGAAAGGCAAGATAGCACAAAACCTGATAAAGACTAGAAGATTTATTGTACTCAGCTGAAGAGTTAGCACTCATTGACAATCATTTTTGAGGCAGATCAAAAAGGAAATGAATACATATCACTGCCTGCATGGTTTGTGTTACCCAACACAAAATAATGAAAATGTATATGTTTATATAGAAAATTTATTCATGGATACAAACAAATGGAATCAAATGAGGCAATGCATAGTTTTGTTAGATATAGTTATTTGGCAGTCTTTAATCTTTAGGAAGATGAATTGAGATCTATAGTTTCATTTATTTTTAAAGGTCTAGCATGAGATTTTTCATTGTCACTTTAAGATTAGATTTAAACCAATCTTGTAAAAGGTAAAGTCTTTCATTAGAGCCAACTGTCTGTACAGGTACATAGTTATTTGTAAGTATTAAATACAAAATACCAGAATTAACAATGCTGGCTCAAATCGTAAAAGTTGGAATTAGTTAAATTATTTTAGGTGGACGTGATTAATAATATGTTAGTTCTCTGCCTCGTTTCTTACCTAGCCTTAATCATTGAATGGGTATTGCCTCAATCAAACTGAGACCTGTTAAAGACCTTAGCTTAAATTAAAAAAAAAGACCTTAGCTTCAAAAGGCTAAGGTCTCCCACCTCATCCAGGGTCATCTCCAGTCCTAATCTATATCCTGCCACTGGACCCAGATGGCTCCAGAAGAGAGAGTGAGGCTGGTGACTTTGCACAGCCTCCCCCTCAATTAAATACAATTCACTTGCATGTCATGGCATTACCTCCCTGATGTCATGATCCTCTTTGAAAACGAAGGACAAGCAATAGCAACATTAGTTCTTATTATTTTTTCCCATTTAAGCCCCATAAGCAAACATAAAGTCACATATAAATGGCAGATATTTGAATACCCAAAAAAAGATTCACATACATTTCAGAAGGAAATAAAATGGATGTTTAATCATTGGAACTAAGCTGCTGGGGTGAAAAACTTAACTGAGCAGCTAGGGTCTGGAATAGGGAGGGACAGTGAGAAGATGAATGAGGCCTAAAAATATTGCCCAAAAGGTAAGAAGTGTTGAGGCAAGCTCATTGACCACTGCCCACTAAAACTTAACTCAGAACTAGTCTAGAGTCAAGTGCAATGAAGAAGGAGTATGGGACACATAGCTTTTATGGATACAGTACTAATGGCATTGGTTAACAATGGTCCTGAGCAATAGAAGGAAAGGAAGACTAGAGAAAAATCTGTTTTTTGTGATGTAGTTGATGATAAGAAAGGAGAGTTTCTGCTACCATCTTGCTGGAACTGAGGAGTTATTTCTAAATAACTCTTCTGAGGTAATAAAAGTTTGATGAGTTGCCTAATACCTGCTCTTCTAGTTAAGGTTTTGTGAAAGTATTTGATTTCTAAGAGTTTTGCTTGTTAAGCTTTGACTATTTAATGTTACATTGATGTGTTTTATGTCAAAAGACTTTTTTAAAAAATAATGTTCAGGCTTTCTTTTAAATACCACAATTTCTGTTTTTTTAATAAGTATCTAAGTTTATTTTCCCTTTTTCTGAGGTCAATTAATTAAACATATTTAGAAACTTTTTCAGGTATATTAGTGTTTTCCCATGTAAAAGTACAGTATTTAATACATTATCTTTTGCAATCTACTTAAAAGATATCTTTTAAAATGATGCCTAATAGTATTCACCTCCTAAAATGAAAAGATACTGTTATTCCTGAAGTGAGTCATGGTTTGTACTCTTCTTGGATTCAAGGAACTGTAGCATTATTGGAAAAATTCCTTCTAACAAATTAAACATTGCCATCAGATTATTTGTGATCTTTAAATGAAATGTTCATTATGACAATGTTCAAAAGTTGTATGTAAGTCAAGAAATTGTGATCAGGAATATAGTGTTCGGAAGATCACCAATAATTGTTCAAAAGCTATAGACAGAGCTTGATTTGTATAATGTATTTTTGTTTTATCATTAGTCAAAAACTTTAGAAAATAAACCCAAATAAATTATTACCCTTCACCCCTGTAAAATATAGAATGACTCAGTTGACTTCAGTGATTTCATCCCAGTATATCCTTTAAGTTTAAAGTCTCATATGATTACTTTCATTTACTGTTACTTGTACTGCTTCAAAGAACTGAGTAGGTATGTTCCCTTTTTTTATGCTATATGCTACAATTGCACCAGTGATTTCTAAAGCATTCATTTTAATCAAATACAGAAGTTGTTACATGTACACACACACATGTGCCCCTTGAAGGCAGGGACTGTTTTGTTTGTATCCCTAGCACCTAGAGCATTGCTTTGCACATAGTTGACAATAAATTTTTTTTTAATTAAATTTGTTGACATAAATATCTGTATTCGGTTATACCATGGTTGTGTCAATTATACAAGGCAACACTTCCATACATTCTAAAAGAATGTCAGAGCTGAAAAAAAGACCATCAAGCTCATCTAATGCAACCCTTTATTTTACAGATAAAACAACCAAGCCCTAATTTTTCAGTGACTTGTCTTTGGTTACACAGATTTCTCATTGTTCTCAGTGTTTCTGCTTCCCCATTCTTTCTCTCTCTTTCTCTCCTTCCTTCCTAATCTACTGCTTTGAGTCTGTTATGGGATGAAAAATCAGATAAGCAAATTTATTGGAATGGCACCTAAAATAAGAGTAAAATAGATTGTGAGTCAAGTGTATGTACTTGAGTGCATGGACTTTTTGACTCCAAATTGGACTACTTCCTTCTTGGATCTTATTCAGGTGCCAAATGGTTCCATATTCAGAAGCAATAACACATGAGAATAGAACATTTAAATTTCAACCAAATAGATAACCATCTATTTGCTGAAGATTTTGCTGTCATTTCATTAAATCAGTTTCTCAGTAGTGGCCTTTCTGAAACTGTTAGAATATATTTAAACATGAAGAGTTCTTTGTCATCTAGGCATCAATTGCTAAAGCTTGGTGGATGAGGCAGCTTCTACTGCCTTTGAAATACTCCTATAAATGTGGGAACTCTTTGGGGGTCTTTTGAGATAAAACATGGACATTTTAAATTGAGAAACATCTCCCACTTTTTCTGTATCTTTATGGTAGAAGTTCTCAAACTTTCATCTCAGGACCCCTTTATACTCTTAAAAATTAATGAGTTTTTCTTGTGTTTATTATTGTTGCTTTTAAATGAATTAATATTTTCAAAATTATTAGTTTTAATTTCTATTGATACTTACCACATTTAAAATTAAAACTGATAGTTTTGACATATTTATTAATTCATTTAAAATAACAGTAAAGCCATTACATATTAACATAAATAATGTTTTTTGTGAAAAATAACTATTTTCCAAAACAAAATTTAGTGAGAATAATGGCCATTGTTTTGCCTATTTTTGCAAATCTCTTTAATGTCTGGCTTAACAGAAAACTAGTATGTTTCATATCTGCTTCTGCTTTCATTATATTGTTCTGGTTGAAGTATGTGAAGAAAATCTGGCCTCACACAAATCTGTTGTTGGAAAAGGGAGCAGTATTTTCATAAGCAAATAGCACCTTAGTATCATAAAAAGGTTTACCTTTACAGAGCTCCCCCCTCAAAGGGTCTCAGCCCGGCAGTCTGCAGGCCACTCTTTGAGAACTACCATTTTAGAAAAAGTGCCAGAGCTATCCTCTACAATCTCCTAAAAGTCCAGAACCTTTCCTAAAGTTTCTCATTATATCTGTTTTCAAGAGAGCATGTAAGGAGCTGTGGTGGTTTTAAGTATCTCATCTTGTGGGTAGAAACTAAAAAATAATGTTTGTCATAACCAGTTTCCTGTTTATTTAGTACTTGCCATCACATCCCTGCCAAATTAAGGCCAACAGCCTACAGAAATGCTATTTATAAGCAAAAACTCATCATATGTCATGCTGTCTATATTTTGTCCCACTTTGTCAGTAATGAAGATTGCAACTAGATTTTAAGCTCCTTGAGGATAAGTTCCATATCTTTGTGTCCCTGGGGCCTTCTGTTTGTTGTCTTTAACCAAAAAAAGAAGCAAATGGGCAAAGACAAGGAGCTCTGCTTGGCATCATTTGACAAATTACAGGTTTTCCTCTCAAACTTACCATTTTCTAAGTATTACAGCTTATACTTATCTTCTCTTTGCAGTTTCATGTCCAAATGTTCTTTCATTTCAGTCATTGTTCTTACTTGGAGTCACCGAAGCAGGAATCTCTGGCTGAATGCTAACAGCAGTGTTTTACAGTACCTTGTGGGTGAAAGACCTGCGTGTTCAGCAGTAAAGTAAAAGCAGTGCTTGATAATTGCAGATCTGGGTAATGTGGTTTGGTCTTCATACATTCACTTAGGTGGAGCCCGAGAAGTTGAAGACACTAACAGAAGGTTTAGAAGCCTACAGTCGAGCCCGGAAGAGGAACAGAAAGTAAGCACAATTGTTTCCACTTTTCAAAAATATTATTTGCTGATCCTTTTCCAAAAAAATAATGAAATGCCACCAAGTTTACCAGTGTTGTAGCATGTATGCATTCATTAGTTATCTTTGAAGAATGTCAGATAGTACCATAGGCAAACATCATTTGCCATTAAATCTGTTATCTTCTCATCCTAACAATTTGTGCTTATAATTATGTGGGGTGTTTTTTTTTTAATTTTCTCCTGATTAGCTAGTGGGAAAAGAAAAGAAGGTTTATATGTAAATGTAAATTGTAATATAAATTAACAAGTCAGTATATATTGAGAGATAAAGTTCCCCAAAATAGAACGTGTAGAGTTATAAACAAACTTGGCGGCTAGTGAGTCACAAGTGTCCTAATAAACATTTGTGGTTTTTACATGGTTTAATGTTTTAATAACTTTCATTGGTGGTATTATTATTAACAGTGGCAAAAATAATTGTAGAAAGATGAATCTAAAATGTTTTCTGGACATTTATATCCTGAGTTAATTTTTGTGGCAGAGGTAGAGTGCTTGGGGCACAACCTATACTTTGGCATAACAGAGTTTTTGGATTGTGTATCGTTACTGATTTAATATTAATTTTAAGAATAGAGTATCATGAACAAGTGGTTGGCACGGTAGATAGAGCCCTGGACTTGGAATCAAGAATACCTAAGTTCATATCCTGCTTCAGACACTTACAATCTGTGTGACAGTGGACAGATCACTTAGCCTCTCTCATATCAGTTTCATCATCTGTAAAATGGAGATAATCACAGTCCCTATTTTACAGGATTGTCATGAGGATCAAATGAGATAATGTATGTAAATATCTTTACAAACCTGAAGGTACCATATAAATGTTACAGATTATTATTGTTATTGTTATTATTAATTTAGATATTGCCTAACCAATTTTGTAAAACAAAGTTAGCATACCTCATTAGTTGTTAGCAAACACCTAAAAATAACACAATGGATTCACATTCAGCTGTGATAACACAGACGAATTTTCCAAAAACATACACATTGCAGAATCTTACTATCATGATTTTAAAATGTTAATAGAGTAAGTTCATCAGATTTTCCAAAGTGGAAGTCTAGTGTCAGGGTATTTATGTTGTACGTAAATGTCCGTGCTCCATTCCTACTGCTACCACCCTGGAAAAGTCTGGTCCTTTTTCCGACAGAATCCTTTAAGTACCTTATATCTCAGTCTTATACTGCTACTTCCTCCCTGTCCACTTCAGGAACATTGGGACTACATCATTGACTTGTCACTCCCTTCTCCTTGTGCTCAGCCCTGCCCAGGGTGCCCGTCCTGAAAGCTCTCTCCCCTACTAGGGCCTGCTGCAGCTACTTCTACCCTGGTATCACCTCTAATTAGGGCCCCTGCCTTGCCAAAAATTTTCTCTTCTTCCATATTCTGATTAAACCATGGTATGTTCAAGGTCTCAGACTTAAGTTATGGGTTATCAGACTACTGGGGCCCCAGTGGTGATGCCTCTGAGCTTCTCCACACTTTTAGAGAGGATAGATACTCCCATAGTGATACAATGGCATGGTACAGTGGAAAGATCACAGAATTTAGAGGCAGAGAATTTGGATCCAAATCCTGACTCTGCCACTTAACATGTGTTTGACTTTAGCAAAATTACCTTGCTTATCTGTGCCTCAGTTTCCTCACATGTAAATTTAGGATGTTGGTCTATATGGCTGGCCTCTGAGATCTCTTCCAGCACAAGATCTGTGGTGTTATGACCCTACTGGCTCTAAATTTATGGTCTCATGAACTAGTCATTATTTACTAATTATTGTAAAGGAACAACACCAGTAATAGAAAAAATTACAACTGTGTTTTCTAGAGACTGGAAAAACCCTATTGGCCCTAATATGGGCAGACTCTGAGGAAAGTATCCAAAGGTAGAATTCTTAGCAATAGGAAGACCTGGAACCATACCACCACCTCAGGATTTTTCCCCAGCTTATAAAGCACCAGGATACCTTCTAGACCTTAATTAGTTCCATAGAGATGAAGGTTCTCTCATCCTTATGAGCTAGTTCAAACCTTGGAAACTAGTTCTCCAGGATGGTTAATCAATAAGCATTTGTTAAGCGCTTTCTATTTTTAAGCATTCTGCTAAACCCCAAAGATTCCAAAAAGTGCAAAAACAGTCTCTGCCCTCAAGAAGCTTACATTTAATGGGGGAAACAGCATGTAAATGACCAGGTACATACAAGATATATACAGAGCAAAGGAAGATAGTCTAAGCAGGGGAAAAACCCTCCCTAGCACCTGGGGAGACTGAGAAGAGCCTCTGGCAGAAATGGGATTTGAGCTGATTCTTGTAGGAAGCTGGAGAGAACTAAGAGGCAGAAGAGAAAAGAGTAAGCATTCCAGATACGGGGAGATCCAGGAGATTACAGAGACTAAAGATGAGGTGTCATAGGATGAACAACAAGCCAGTGTAGCCGAATTGAGTTCATGAAGAGGAGTAAAATGTGAAAAAGACTGGGCAGGGATGAAGGAGGTAGGGAGGGGCCAAGTTATGAAGAGCTTTAAATGCCAAACAGAAGACTTTATATTTGATCCTATAGGTACTCAGTTGAGAGCCTCTGAAGGTCGTTGAGTTTGGGGTATCCGGTGATGATGTGGGCAGAGCTACACTTCAGAAAAAAATTACCTTCTCAGCTAAATGGAGTCTGGATTAGGGCAGGAGGACACTTGAAGCAGGGGAACCAATTAGAAGATTGTTGTAATAGCCCAGTGAAAAACTGGTTAGGGTCTGAACTAGGATGGCAGCTCTGTGAGGGAGACATGGGAGCAAAGGAAACTCAGAGAGAGCAGACAGACAGAGGAAGCCCTGTCATAAGAACCTAGAGAGGAGAAGGTACCCAGGAGGAGAGACTGAAATGCCATAGAAGTCAAGGATAAGGATTAAGAAAGGGCCATTAGGTCTGGTATTTAAGATGTAACACCTAGGTGGGTTACATTTCACCTCTTCCTCAGGATTCTGTAATAGCATAGGGGGAGTTAGAGTGTCGAGGCTTTCTGCCATTGTCTCAAGCACCCATCAGTGCTGCTCCTCCAGTCGTAGAAGGGTCCCTGCACCCCATTTCTATTCAACCACTTAATAGTCAGATTAGCTTTTACAAAGGAATATTTGCTAAAAAAGGAATAATAGGAACAAATTTACCAACGTACCCTCCCCCTAACATCTGAATAAGAAAAGGGAATTAGAATTAGGTTCACAGCTTAGTTTCTGATTCAGTGAGCACAATCTTAAGTTCCAAATCCAAAGCCCCTCCTAGACTTGACTCCTAGGCATTCTGGCTTCTCGGAGCTTCCCTGCTGGGCTGGCTGCAACATCCAGCCTGGAATTCTGGTTCCAAGGTTACTAGGTTCAATGGGGATTTTACCTCCCTAAACCTAGATCTGGAAAGTTCATACAATACAAACAAACAAACCAAAAAACCCAAGGTACACACAATCCTTTAGTCAATGCCTAGGGATAAGATTCTCAGTAAAAGAGAGTAGGAAAAGGTAACCTTTCCTCTTTCACCAACTCATTTGTTTGTTTGTATTGTATGAACTTTACAGTGAATGATCTCAGACTTCATCCTTTCTAGATGCCACAGGAAAAAAAGTGGGTATCCCAGCCTGGCAGTTTTTAAAGATGCAACCCCTTCTGAGTTCCACCTGTGTGGTAGGAAAGTTAAGAGTATCTTCTCCCTAGAAGCACATTCCTGGCATTTCATGGGGTGACTGCCTTTATTTGTAGGTGATCAAAGCAAAGCTAGTTACAAAGAGATCACTGGTAACTTCAAAGAAGGCAGTTTTAGTTGAATGAGATTGGTAACCAGATTATAAAGCGTGTAAGAGAAATGAGAGGAAAGGAAATAGAGGCATTGAGTATAGATGGCTTTTTCAATGAGTTTGACCATGAAAAGCAAAAGAGATATAGACTAACTAGTGGGGATGATAGGATACAGTGAGAAGTTTTTAAGGAATGGGAAGACATGAGGGTCTTCAATAGTTTTTACACAGGGGGAATGTATTTGAAATTATGAGCTTAGGACACTAAGGCACACCCCTTATCTTGAACAGAATATCTCTTTAAAAAGCATAAACAGTTAGCAAATCATTTGGTATCTCCAATGCAATACTTTGCCATTATATCAAATATTTTAAAAGATTTTAAGTAGGTTATTTTTATGGGCCACATATAGGTTGCAAAATAGATTTCATAAAGGCATGAAAAATAAATAATTTGGTTAGTTACCTGCTGTATTCTGACTAAAGTGGCATTTTCTATTCAGAGTTGATGGAAATGTCAAATTCTGAGAAATTAATATAATAGTTGGATAAAAAAGAGAAAATTGTCAAACATCTGTAACACTGTTTTGCAAAGAGAAATGAATTATAGGATATTCATTGAACAAATATTTTCATGTAAAAACTCCTTGTGATGTCTTCAGTATTTCACTGCAGGATAGGTTGTCTAATGTGCTTAACTTAAAACAGTCCAAAAAAAATAATTGATAATACAGGAATGAAATAAATACTTCCAAAATTTTTTTTCATACACACATCCACACACACACATACACACACAGAGAGATATGCTGATATATACATATGTGTGTGTATGTACATATATATGTATGTACACACTGTGTGTTTCTCTTATTGATTATGTAAATGGCAATATCTAGAGAGGAGAAATTTTCTCATGAAATTGTAGATATTCAATAAACATGAGGGTCAGTAAAGAGGTACCCCAGAGTAGTAAAATGTAAAACAAATGGAATTGTCTTGAAGTTCCTGGTGTACCTGTAGTTTCCTCAAAATGTCATTTGACCTTAGCAGAGCAAAGCATTAGAAATTTTTAAAATTTGAGATTATAATGTATCTATTATTAACTAATATATACATATATTTCCATCTCTTAGTCACAGTAAACAAATTCTTTTTTACACATTAAT